CCATTCAATTCATCACTTAGTCTTCTTCTACGTTCATTCTGAGTTTTCACACACACACACACACACACACACACACACACATATTCATAATAAGGACATGTTCAAAATGAAAAAAATAAACTCCACAAAATAATATTAATTCCCACTAAAACACAAAACAAAAACGAATAATTAAAAAAAAATAAAAAAGGCCCAAATTAAGAATAAAAAACATGACATACATCCATCTTTGAGATTCTCTTCACGGAACTGCTTGGGTATGTGGTCGAGAGATTTCCGAGCTGCCGGAGACTTGAATCCGCATCTCCGAGCCGCGACTCTTCTCGGATTAGCTGCGAACAGCAGCTTCGGATTCTGAAGAAAAGCTGAAGCAGTAGAATTACAGCAAAGCTCGCGATTATCTATGGCGGTTGTGGATGAGAGAGGTGAGAGTAAGAGCGATGAAGAAGCCATTTTTTTTTTTTTTGGGGGAATGAATTTTCCAAATTGAAAACCACAAAAAATCAATGAAGAAAAAATGATTTTTCTCTAGACGTAGAAGAAAGAAAATCAAGGAATATCTACTCGTTAATGGGCTTTTAACTTATTCAAATTTCAATTCGGCCCAATTTATTTTTGTTTTAGTACAATTTGGGCTCATTTTAATTTATCTGTATATATCTAATGGGCTTAAACCCAATTTAATTTAAATTAATAACCTCAATGTAATTGTTGGTCAGAGAGTTCCGCCGATTTCGATCTAAAAATTATGGATCATGAAAAAAGTTTTTTTCATCACTATTTATGAAAAACAAAAGAAATTTGAAGTATCAGTTCCGATCAAATCCGTCTGATTTATGTCCCAATGGGTGAGTGACACTTTTATAACGGCTACATTTTTCGTATGTCGAAAGTTAGCGTACTCCTTAAATCTACCAAGTATTTAAAAAAAAAAGAAATTGACAGTGCTAATGGTATTTAGGAAAATTCCATGGGTTATTGCATTTGGCACCCCCTATATTTTTTTCTAGTTATAAAAAATTTAATGTTATTTCATTAGCAAAAGATCCCTACGATTCAATTTTTTAAAGCAAAAGTACCCCTATAAATTCACTTTTTTTAGGGGTTGTGTGGTTAGAAAAAAATACATTACAAGGAGTTTTTTGTTAATAATTTATAAAATAGTGTACTAAATGTAATAAATTTAAATAAAACAAATTATTAGATCTGCTTATGTTAGAAAATAGGGGTCATTAGCAATACACCCATCCTATAGATAAAAACTAGTAATATGTCCATACCATAATTCTTTCTTTGTGAAAACCCCCTAAAATATTTATTTCCAATCTTACCCTCTAGTACCTATCACGTCTGTTTTTATAATTATCCAGTATTTTCGAAATCCCTATTAATGAGGCACCTAATCCCGCTAATTAGGCTTAATTATATACTTTCCCTAATAAAATTGCTCCTAATATAATTTATCTCAATTATTCCTTTTTTTCTCTCTTTCCATAACAACAATTTAATTCCTAAAAATATGCTTCCAAATTCCTAAAAAAATGCTACCAAATCAAAAAAAAGAAATAATAATAATAAATCGGATTTTTTTTTATTTTGATATTATTTTCGGACTTTATTTAGCCATTTTTTTATTTATTTTTATTTTTAATATTTTTAATAAAAATATTATTTTAAATTTTTTTTAAACAAAAAAATGAATTTTTTTTCTCAACAAGTTTGCAACGCCGAATATGACTATGGTTGAATATTACTATATGTAACTATAAACTGTAGTCATATTCTTTCTTTATATTGTTGTTTTTTACATTTTGAACTTAAAAATTCCGATTATATGGCATAGTCATGTTAACCTAATCATATAAAACAACGAAGATTCCCTATTATTTACGAAAACAATTCAATCAACATCCACACAAAAAATCACAATTTGAATCTTGTTATTAGAAGTCAACTTGAAAACGAGAAGATAAAACATATTCAACAATAGTCATATTCGAATATGACTACACTCATAATCGAAAAATACATAAATATGACTATAGTCATATTCAAATATGACTATAGTCATGTTACTACTGCTGTTCAGATCTGAAAAAAAAAATCGAAAAACATAAATAAAGATAGAAAAATAACGAAAGAGAGGGACGGGAGTCGACGAGGCCTTCATACACAAAATCACTCTGGCATATCTTTATCCCAAACGACCCTCCATACTTCAACACAATCATCAAGGTCGAGGACATGATGTGCAGCACTACAAAAAAACATGAGATGTGACTACTGTGTGAATAATTTTGATGAATGAATCTGCACTATTCTGTAAGTGCAATTCACATAATATTACGTGAATTCAATTCAGCCACAACAAACACATTGAACTTACACTAACATATCAAGTAACGCAAAAAAAAAAAAAAATTACAATTCGAATAACAAAAT